GCTACACTCACTCTTACTTGAACCAGCCTTTGTGTCAAACTCTTCTCCGTAAAGCCGAGGAAGAAGAGTTTGGATTAAATCATCTGATGAGCGGCTTGACGATCCTTTGTACTTTAAGTCACTCTCTTGTTCTCACTGAAGGAAAAATCACTAACGAACCAAACAGATACTCTAGTTTGGACTTTGGAGAGTTGATGATGTTTTTAAAAAAAAAAGGCATATTATGGATTTCTTATAAGGGGTTTTAAATTGAGACTAGATTCAAACAGAATGGTTTGTCTTGTGTGCAGGTGAAAACAATCGGCATGCATCAAGAGATAATCGATGAAGTGGCTCGATGGATTGAAGCTCTTGCTTCTGTTTAGTCACCGGCCTTTTAGGTAGAGATTAAGGATGTGTAATATTATGAAAAAACATGTAATTAACCATTACATTTTGGTTAGGTTCATTCAATTTACAACAGACAAAATTGTTAAACTTTATCGAATTATTATAAATCTCGGTTCGGTTTTCGATTTGGTTGGTTTAATTTTTCTGCCGCCTCTAATATCCCTATTTATTCTTGAGCCCTGAAACATTTATTTTCTCTTTCTAACACAAGAAACGATCAATCTTCAAAACTTCGATGGAAAAAGGGACAAACATAGATACCTATTCCGACTGATCTCATCATCGAGATGTTCTCAAGGTTGCCGGCGAAATCAGTCGGTAGGTTTCGTTGTCTGTCGAAGGAATGGTGCTCGATACTAAGCGGTCCTGTTGAGAAGAAGTTCAAGGTATTGGCTGAGGGTCATCCATTCTGTGATCAAAGGATCATCATCATGAGGTTCTGACTTTAGGAACTGGAGAACTCAGTTGGAGGACGAAGGGGATGGATACTCCTCATTACGCTTGGGCTGTGTGTGAAGGGATTTGCATCAATGGGATTTTGTATTACTTAGTTGTCCACCATACGCATAGTACTGTTCGCTTCGATTTTAGGTCTGAGGAATTCAAGCTTCTTACTGCAGAATGCTTTCGTTGTCCCTACACGACGAGATTGATCAACTATAAATGCAAGTTAGGTGGGATTGAAAAAGCTGGTGATACCCTTGGGTTGTCGTTGTGTGTGCTAGAGGATCTTGACAAACAAGAATGGTCGAAGAATGTCTACACTTTGCCGGAGAACAAGGTGATACCTCCAAAGTTTCTGTCGCTGGAATGACTGCTACGGGTGAGATTGTCTTGGTCATGGACTATACATGCAAGCCGTATTACGTTTTCTACTTCAACCCCAAAAAGAACACTCTTCAAAGTGTTGAAATCCAAGGTTTTGGAGACTTTGAGGCTATTGAGTCTCGTGGTAAAGTTTATGCCTTTGTGGATCATGTAGAGGATCTCAATGTTGATGAATCTCTACTTCTCGAGTCAGGCATCTCTGCTAATCAAGCTATCAGCTCCGACTTTGACGTGAAAGAGCTGAGAAGGTTGGAACAAGATGCGGCTCGTTGGAAAAACCGAAAATCCAACGGCTAAACATGTTGAATATATTCTTGAGGAAGATTTATTTTAGGATTTATTCCTTTTAGTTGAGAGAAGATATTTTCCTTATGTTCATTTGTGCTCTATCTTATGTTCTTTGGTTATAGACTTTAGTGGTCTCAGCTTACTAATTAAAATATATCCAATCTAGCTTTGGTACTTTATTTACTGATCAATGCATACAAAACTCTTGCAGAGATGTATATAACGTTCTTTGACTTTTTTTGATTAATCATGATTTCTTTTTTAATTCCCATATCTTCAGTTCTGAATCAATAATATCCTACCTATGGTAATGGATACAAAGCAGCGATTGAAGAGTTTATACTGTATACATATATTGATGCCATGTACATACACTTTGATTAGTGACTGTGTAAGAGAAACTCAGATTAATACCAAGAATGAGGAAAGAAACTTGAGCACCGAAAGGGTTTCTTCTTGCAATGTACCACCCTTTGTTTCAAACTCTTATGATTAAAGCTGAGGAAGCGTTCGGATTGAATCATCCGATGGGCGGCTTGACGATCCCTTGTCATGGAGATACTTTCCATTCTAGTAAGGGATGCATAGACTTTTTGTAAAATACATAAGAGCTATTAGAGTAACTTTTTTCGTTTAATGCATCAAACAATGCTTATGCCTTACGGTATTGTTTAGTAAGATTTAAACTCATCTTAGTATGAGATATTTGTATTTCACATTTTTATCTTGTGACCTTTGTTTACTATATAATGCAGAGAAAAACAGAAGAACATAGACATAGAGACTATTTGCCAAGTCCTACAACATATTGTCATGGAATCCACATTCCGAGCCAAGTAGAATATTTTGACAAGTATCAAAAGGCTTGGATCACTCAAAGGTAACATTTTGCTTTTGCTTTCTTTTTTAGTTCGAAATTCATTTCAGCTAGAAAAATAAGAAACTAAATTTTAATCCAAGCCTTTTGATAACATTTGGGGTTGGCTATGCTACGACTGTATGCTTAAGAATTAGTTTTGATTTAATGAGATTTTATGCTTCTAATATCTAAGTAATCGAATGCTTCTAATTCCATCAGGCTAAGGTTCTTAAGTGTAAGTATACCATAAGAACACGAGCAAAGGGGTCACTAATTACATTTTCTTATGATGATCATTAATTATGTATAACTCAAAATGCAGAAATTAGGAAACTTGAAAATGGTTCTTTTAGTAACTTTGAAAAGTATGATCCTAAAAGTGAAAACAAATAGAGCTTAAAACAAAATTGGAGAAAACAAAAACAAAAATTGGATAGATTCATATCTCTCTCTCTCTCCAAACATTTCTTCTTCTCCACCCTCGTCTCCGTAACTCAGACCCAAAGGCCAAAGCCCGCACCTTTGTTTCTTCTTCTCCAGTTCTCTCAAGATCCAAAGAGGTAATTCCTTCGATTTTTAGATTTCCATACTTAATTTCACTTCGGGTCTGTGAAATTTGGAACCTTTCATGCTTTTTGTGAAAACCCTTTTCACCAGTTACTGTGTGACCAGGTAATTACAATGGAGGAACAGAGACAGGAAAGTGAGCTTTTTGATGGTTGCAGAGAGCCCATGGAGGAAGCAGCTGGTAAGGGACTAGGTTTATCTTTGAAAACTGAAACCCTAGATGGTGAGGATGCCAAAACACTAGAGGTTTTGGTGGTGGAATCAGGTGTTTGCGATGTTAGTGTGACTCATGAAAACCCTAATGGTGGAGGCAATACGGATTCTGATGAGAAACAAGTTAAGCTTGATGTTGGAAGTGTTGGTAAGACAGTTAACAAAATGGATGTTGATAGCAAACAAGCAAACGAAGAGAATGTTGCTCTTACTGAACATGGAAGTCTAGGATCTGAGACCAAAGTTGCTAAGCATTCAGAATCTGCAGAGGAATCTACCAGGTTAAGCAAAGGAGATGGAAACGAAGGAACAATTTTGGAAGTTAGCTCTGCTGGTGGAATATGCAGTGAAGAAGAAATAACCAATGTTAACCAAAAAGTAGGTGGCGTTCTGGATTATGCTGGCAATGAATCTGCTGATTCAGTTATCTTCTTCCGGAACACTAGCCAAAAGACAGGAAACGAACTTCAAAATTCGAAGAAACGAGGAGAAAACATGAAACCTATCCCGGCTGATATCATCACAGAGATATTCTCGAGGTTGCCAGCAAAGTCAGTTGGTAGGTTTCGTAGCCTGTCGAAGCTTTGGTGTTCCACACTTAGCCGTTCAGATTTCATCGAGCAGTTTCTGTCGAGGTCTTGTGCTTGTCCACGGCTCTTATTTGCGGTTGAACGAAAAGGTGTGTGGAGGTTCTTCTCGTCTCCTCAGTCTTCGTCGTCTCCTGTAGTGGCTGCCGATTTCCATAGCAGATTCTCTCAAGATGTAAGCCGGTTTACTTGTAGCTACGCTTCTGGGTTGTTCTACTTCCGTGATTTGTGGAGTCCAAGAGTGGGTCAATTGTACGTGGTGTGTAACCCTGTAACGGGTCAGTATGTGACTTTGCCTGACGTGAGCATGTACAGAAAATCGAGAGGCTTTTTAGGGTTTGATCCTGTTGAGAAGAAGTTCAAGGTTTTGGCTGAGGGTCATCCATTTTGTTCACAAAGGGATCATCATGAGGTTCTGACTTTAGGAACTGGAGAAATCAGTTGGAGGAAGAAGAAGAATGATTGTCCCCAATATGATTCTTCTTTGTGTGAAGGGATTTGCATCAATGGGGTTTTGTATTACTTGGTTGATAACTTTAGTGATACACCTGGTAGTATTGTTCGGTTCGATTTGAGCTCTGAGGAATTCAGGTTTGTCGTTGCTGAATGCTTTGCTGATCCAAAGACGACAAAGTTGATCAACTACAAGGGTAAATTAGGTGGGGTTGATTGCATCTACGGTGAAGCTGGTGGAAGGTTTACTCTTGAGTTGCGTCTGAGTGTGCTAGAGGATGTCGACAGACATGAATGGTCAACGTATGCGTACACTCTGCCAGAGAACGAACTGATTGATGATCCCTCGAAGGTTTCCGTCGCTGGAGTGATTGGTACGGGTGAGATTGTTCTGGCAATGGACTATACATGCAAGCCCTACTACGTTTTCTACTTCAACCCTGAAAGGAACACTCTACAAAGTGTTGAAATCCAAGGTTTTGGAGCTGACCTTGAAGCGCTTGAGTATCGTGGTAGAGTTTCTGCGTTTGTGGACCATGTTGAGCATCTGGATGTTGAGGATTTTAAGCATTGTCGAGCCAAGCATACCTGCTCCAGCTGTGAAGGATGTGTACAAGATCTTAACGTTGTTGATTTAAAGCAGCTCGGGTCAAGCATCTTTGCTAAAGAAGACAAGCATCTCTGCCCCAACTGTGAAGAACCAGAGAAGAGAGTGAGAGAAAGGAAGGCAATGAGGAATGAATGAATGTCATTTGTGCTCTTATCTTATGCGTTTATGTTCTTTAGTTTATGGTGGTATCTGCTGGTTAATGAAGTCTAAGCTTTGGTAATGTAATACAATACTCTTGCTGAGATGTATGTTACTGCTTTTGACTTTTCTGATTTGATCAAGTTAACTCTTCTTGCTTGCACTCTCTGAAAAATCACTTACAAACCAAGCAGGTACTCTTGTCTGGAGACTGGAGAGTATCATGTCTCCCAAAACTTTGATACAGTGAATGATTGTCGACATTGGTTTTATCTGCAACAGTGTGACACAAAGTGCAAAAACAGGTTTTGGGTGAAAAGTTGAGCAAATCTTGGTGAAATACAAATGCATAATTTCACACTGTGAATTGTGAAAGGTGAAATTGTCTTGAGCAAAATGTTTCGAGTATTTTTAAAAAATTATGTAATTGATAAAATAATATTTCAGGGATTTATCTCGAACCAACAAAAAAGAGAAAATTGCAACGTGGATGGATCAATACGGTCGATTCATTAAAAAACTTACAATCCCTAAATTCGTTTTGAGTACAAAGTTTTCCTTTTTACGAATCTAATTTTTTCGAAGAAGAAAAGAAAACATGGTGTTCATGTCTGATGATAACAAGCTCGAGTGACGAATTTGGTTACTTTACCAGTCAGA